TTTTTCTAAGTACAATCGAATTTATTCTATGCTTTAACACTTTATTTTAATTTCAAAAGGATATCTATTTTATTTTTTTATCCCCTTCTCACTCTAGTTTATAGAAATCTTTTATCCAATCTTCAACACTTACCTCTAACTCGTTCGTCCCTTCATTCCATTCTCAATTCTATAAGAATAAAGGGAAGGAAAAAAGGGATAGTAAGTAAAGTTTGTACTATTAAATGTTCATTCAATTATTTCATTATAATGTCATTTATATTAATAATGCATACGCACGAATAATAACAAGCATATTTATTTCCAATTCCATTTGAATCCCTTCATTTTCCTTATTGATCAGTGCAATTATCGTTAATGCTCTTTGTAATGCTTATCATCATCGTGTTATTTATACGTTCGATGAATAACTGAAAGCTAATTTTTCATCTCCCATATATCTCGGTTCAAGTGATTTAAAAACTTTTTCCGATTTTCATAACCGAGAACAAACTTTTACCTTCCCACTTTTTTCTCTCTCTCTCTCTCTCTATTTCTGTTTTCCTGTTCTTTTTTCTTTTTTTTTTTTTTTCTCTCTCTCTGATTGATTTCAATTTAATTACTTTAACTCTTTGCCGCTGAACTTTATGATTTATCTCTAACACCCGAACTACTTTTATTATAATCGTTACTGTTATTATTTCTTTGAATTTATTTCACACGATCGTCGAATGTTTGTTTTTTCATTAACATAATTAATACATTTGAAATATAATATAAATAACAATAAAAAAATGAATCTCAGAAATAACAGAAGACTTTTATGTGACGCAATATTCGTATATTATATAATATATATTATAAGTAATTTATATTAATGACAATTATTTTTCGACGAAATAACAGAACATTCTTCTAAATACAAAAAGTTTATTTTAACATAAAATAAATTTTTGGTTGAAAATATTTCTGTAGCACAGATTTGTCTTCATGATTAAATTTTCTTTTGAACAATTCGATAAAACAAAAAGTAACATTATATTAATCCGATGCATTTTCGACGAGTGATCATTTAAAAAGAATCTAATTAAATATTCTTAACGAAAATGATTTTGATTGGGGTGAACGAATAGCAAAGGTGTTAAGGGTAGGTCATAAAAAAAAAGTACAATGGAATTTCGATGACATAAAATCGTTGATCGTTGTAATTTGGTACGAGCAAGGCCTCGTGCTGACCTTACCGAAGCCCCATCCCTGTTGTATTCTATTCAAATCAGATAGGGCCTCCTTTCATCCGCTCACCTTAGACACGTTGATTAAGTCTCTCCAGAGTTATTTTCGTGTACACTTGATTAGAAGACAAGGGATTCACTTTCATATTCTTGCCTCGCCATCAAACCTCTCTTTTGTTACTCCATTCGAATATATAATATATCTATTTTACATTGTATTAGAAATTTTAATAGGCGTCGATTAATTGTATCCCAAAATATATTCCATACTTAAAGAACAGAAAAAAGAAAGAAAGAATAGGATCGATTGAATATTTATTTATAAATTTTATACAATTGGCCCAAATTATTTTCACAACCCTTAATTATATATTAAGTTTTTTTTTACATCGGATATATTTTATTTCTTCCTGCTGTATTACGAATACGATGTTTTTTATCTTAATAGGCTAATAGTAAGTAGGGTGCACAAAAATTGATTATAAATTAAAATTGAAATTTACGGCCTGGTATACCAGGGACAATTTAATATTTCTAATAATTGTAGACTATCCGTTTGTTTTATGATGTAATTTGTAAAATAATCAAATACGTAAAGGTGTTTAAGAAATTTTGTATTCATTTGTGCATAAATTGGGTACGTAGATTTCAGCCTAACTTGGCCCAATTTTGTTTCTGTTATATTTCCTAAATGCGTGGGCAAAAAAGACAATATATATATTATAGGCGGATTCAGTAAATGCGTTCGTCATCGTTATGACGCAACGGATAGTATAGTTGTATAGAGTCACTAAATTTGACACAGATACGTTTCATTCTGCATGACTGTGTACTCGTTCGATACGTTGGCTCATTCTGAAACCGCGAGCATTGTGCTTTTCAAATTGGCACATCTCTGATATGAAACTTGCGGAGGTTTTCATTGTTGTCTTCGTTGTGCGAGCCTAGGCGTTCTTCACGCGATGAGAGGACTCGAGAAAAACGAAGAGAGAGAGAGAGAAAAGAAGAAACGTTTAGAAAAGATACAAATTTTCTATACCTTTTTCATACCCTTTACATATTTGCCCAAATTTTGTCCCTATTTTTATTTGATTTCTAAAGTAAATTGTACACCCAAAAAAAAAAAAAACAATCCATTATGCAGTTACCAAAGAAAAATTTCAATAAAATCAAATGCAAGCGAATTTTGATTAATCCTAACAATACTAACGCGGGTGTCTATTAATCGAAATGTTGAAGAATTGTAATAATTCGGTAAATATTATCGTACGACAAGATCGTTCATGCCCTAGACCTCATAAACGCATCAGAAAGTTTATCGATCTGCAGTCAGTTGAAAAAAGGGGTAGTTTAGGAGAACGGCAGCCAAGTCGTCCGAAAACGTTGGTCGCCAAGAAACGTCGTTGCCATTTGATCTGAAAACTGGCTACACGACCACGAACTACTACGAAGTACCATGACGACAACCTCGTTGAAGGTCTCTGCCAAACGATCGTAACATTTGAAAACGTGTCGAGGACACAAGGAATGAATCGTCAAAAGATTAATGGTCATATTCCTAGCCACACAATGTGTTTTAAAAAGGATTCTAATTAATTCAATATAAGAAAAAGATATAATACAAATTTTAAAAAGGAACTAACGATACGTTTTATATGTACACATTGTTTATGTCAATTATTGGTATTTATATTCAACAAATTGTTTCAGTCGGTAAAATTCTGTTATGATATTTCCCATAAATTCTGCCACTTCTAGTAACCCTGTAATTGATCTGATGATGATTATTCGTTTGGACCGATGACGACGACGACGAGAAAATGTGGGGACCGTCACCGGTGCATAAACGTTTAACACGGGTTTTTATTCCGGTTGCAGTACCCTTGCACTTGTCTTCTTTCTGTTGCTGTTGTTGTTGTTGTTGTTGCACTTGCCGATGAAAATGGTGATTACGTAAAAGACCATATTGTTGTTGTTGTTGTTGTTGTTTAACTCTCGTTGTCATAGTCATCGTTGCTGCTGTCATCGTCGTTGTCGTTGTTGTTGCTTTCGGTTTCATTATCACTGATGATGATCTTTCCTTCAATAATGCAACGACCATTCGTCTTTTTAATAGCCTAAAAGGCGATACCGCCAAAATAGCTTTGGTAATTCGTCTTCTGCAACGCCATAGTATAACTGCGGTAGCAAACCAGGCAAACCACGGACTGGCCCTAGGATCCGCCGCAGGTTCCTTCGACCAGAGGAATAACATCTGAAGAGTACATTAATGTGCACTTCCCACGGGACTTCTAACAAAGATGGATCGTAGATTTATTTATGATATTAACCCATGATTGCCAAATGGTTCTTTCTTTAAGATCGATCAAGTTTATATTTAAAAACGCGTATTGATTTATTTCGTTTTTTCTTTTAAGATCAATACTATAAAAAAAAGCGTGAAATATTTCAAACAAGGATAAAACAAAATTTGCAATAATTATTACAACGCATTGTAGATATTTGTATAACCTGTGTCAAATCTAAACTACACACACACAAAATCAGTGGTATTCTATTTATAATAGAAATAGAAAATATTGAATTTGCAATGGTTGTTATAATTATTAATAACCCCATCTCTACCATTGAATATATCCCGAAATCTCGAGCCAACGTTGCAGCAAAGTTGCATTAAAACGAAGTTTAATTTGTTCGTAATTAGTTAGACTAGTTGCAAGCGAGTACGAGACACAGTAGTAATTGGTTTTGGTCATTAACGATTGGATTTGGTTAGAGCAGTGATTGGCTTCATCGATCTACATATAACACTGTCCATCATGGTTCGCTGCTGTTGCAACGAATCAACGTGGAAGAGAATCGATTTCGATCTAGGCGTTGTATTTCTTTCTTTCTTTTTTTTTGTTGTTGTTCTTTTATTCAAGGTTGCCGAACGAGAAAATCCTTTTGGTAATTCGTTTAAAGATGCCTCTTAACGGCATTGCGTTTTAGACTTTTATGGCTCCGTCGTGGGCGTGAAACGACAGCTAAAATACAACGGGGACGTAACTTTAGCTCGAGATTTCGTTCCCATATTATTTTTCATCATTCTTCGAATAGTATCTCTCTCTCTCTCTCTCTCTCTCTCTGTTTAATTGTGACCCATTTGGCAAAGACCATTACGATATAGACAATTATTTTGCGCATTTTAACCGAACTTTTTTTTTTCTATTTCTTTTTCTTTTTCTTTGTCTTTTTCTTTGTCATTTTATTATTATTATTATTATTATTATGAAAACTGACCTTATATATCCACTCGTTGGCGCGTTGCCTGAAACTGAGGGGTCGATCGACTAACCGAAACATAGAATGGCCGTGAATGATGATGAGCTGAGGCCTTCGTTGGTGGTGGAACCCTACGATTGATGGGGAAGAAAAAAAAAGAGAGAGAGAGAGAGAAAGAGAAAGATATACACTCATTTTGCTTGAACTTGAAACCAATGAAAAGTTTAAAGATTAAAGGGAGGGGTTGGATCCTACTAAACGTGAGTAATACAACAGTCATCAAATTGCAATGCGTTTTACGTGTACGAGAGAGAAAGAAAATAATTCAAAGGGAAGGATAAAAGAGATTGGGTTTTTTTTTTTACATATAAAAAATATATATATATTATTATAAGGAGCAAAAAAAAATATATACAAAAGAGGACGAAAAGTGTAAGGATTGAAGAAGAACGTATCTGGGAGGTAAAGCGGAAGGAACACTGAGGTCAAGTGTGCTAACGGAGCAGATACGTTTTATATAGCACGAAAGCACGAGAAAGAGGGGGAGGAAAGGGGTGGTACGATGCCAAGGCAAAACTCGTATCTATAAGGACGAGTTTAAAAAGTAAAGGGAAAATGGGGAATTCGAGAAGGACGGGGATAAATTATCAAAGTTCTCTTCTTCTCTTCCTTTTCTTTTTTTTTTTTTTTTTTTTTACCCCTGCCCTTCGTAAAGCTCGAATTTTCTTTGAGTCATCGGWAAGGGTATTATCGATCGTAAAGGCAAACTCGTCGTCGAGTTGTTCGAACGGGTATATACATATATACATATAAATACATATATATATATATATATATATATATATATATATATAACTTACTGGCATCAGTGAGATATAAGAAAAGATTCTAGAAGGATTCGGTTTTTCGTTAGGCTCGACAAGCGTAAGAATTTTTCTGCTTTTCCATCCAAAAACGGATGGAATTGATGATGACGAAGGTGATGATGATGATGAGGATTGTTAATGTCCTTTTGCGTCAAACAACTTCCAAACTTATTTTGGGCGATGGCTTTTTAAAAAGTTTCCTCACTTTTCTATTTTCTTCTCGTTTTAATTTTGGGATGCCGTTTAATTTCGGAGAGTAAAAGAATTTTAAAAATGTTGAAAGACAATCTATATATATAATCTTATTCTAACCAAACTTTATTTGGTTAGATTGGTATCATTTCAGTGCCGCCACCACTGGCCACTCTTGTTAACGGAGACACCTACTCCCGAAGCAAACCAATTTACGACGCAAAACTTTTCCCGATATGAAAGAAAATAATATATTTATTTTGCGGATAATAAAACCGAACGAACGAGAAAGAAAAGAAAAAAATTAAATAAAAAAAAAAATGGTGCGAGAAAAAGAAGGGAAAAAAGATAAAAAAATAAAAGGAAGGAGAGAAAGGGGGAAGGGAGAGGAAAAAAAAAAAAAAGAAAAAAAAGTTTGGGCAAATGACGTACGAAACGGCCTCGGCTCGGAATTTAGACAAAGGATTGTGGAACGACCGCTTGAAGTTAGTCGCCCGCGATGATCATTCGAGATTGAATCATTTTTTATGAATATTATAACCGATCTTCTCTTTCTGGTCGGTCACCCACCCCACCCCTCCACCTCTCACCCCGCCTCTTCCTCGATTCAATATGCATACATACAAAAATGCATTTATGCACGTATAACAACCATAAAAATACGTACAAGTGTGTAAGGGTGCGTTTTTCAATTTTCTTTTTTTTTTTTCTTTTTCTTTTTCTTTCTATCATACACCCTAACCAAGGACACAAACAATTTTTCATGTTTTAAGAGAAGAAGTTGTTCCGGGTCAAGGTTCTTCTCTAGTTTTTAAAGAAAAAAGAAAAAAGAAGAAGAAGAAGAAGAAGAAGAGCAAGGAAAAGTACTTTCTTTCTTTTAGTTTGATGGTGTAGGGCAAAGACATGTATGCAAGACGATTTTCGTGACTAGGATAGGTCAGTCTTTGGCCTTCTTTGACCGGCTCACCTCCTTTACACTCACTCGGTCGACCTACCTTTCGTTCCTGACGTCACGGGATCGTGTCATTAGGTCAAATACTGGATACGTTACCCGAACGCTGCTAGTAGCTGCTTTTCTTCTGCGTGTCGTGCTCCTCCCATATACCGGGTGTTTCATTTTGCATGATTCTATCTATCTCTCTCTGTCTTAATTTGGGATTAATTAAATTGTACAAATGAGAATTGACGCGAATGGTAATAGATGTCTATCATGATTTGAATAATAACCATTCCAATCAGGTTACTTTATAGAATATAACGTTATGTTATTCTATAAATAATTACGAACGCCTGATCTCTCTCGTTAAGATTAATTTATAGGGATCTTCGTTTATAACCAGGATAAAATCATTGTTTTGTTATTTTAATCAGTTGGGGAGTATATTAAACGTTTCTTTTAAATAGTCATCATCCTTTTATTAGATTCTGATAAGGATCGTTTGATTGACAATCGAACGTATCGAACGGTATTGATTATTTTAACTCGTTTATGGGTTAAAAAGTCATCGAATACAAAGGACACGATGATTTTTATTAATACGATTCGGTCAGCTAATTTTTCGTTGGGATCAAATACGATTGTCACGAACGTGTTATACGTGTAATATATTTTATTCTGAATTTAATTTAATATATAACAAGTATATTTTATATTTTTATTTTTTATATTTATATCTAATTTCGAATTTGTATTACCTCGAAAATATCTTTTTGATTGTTCGCGTCGCGTGAATCATATTAAAGAAATAATTCGACAAGGTAGGTAATTTTTATTGTTTCATTCACATTGAACTAGAGTAAACAAAATATTATCGAGCATTAAAACACAGTTCAAGAAGACGTCGGCAGTCGGTCTTGTCTTTTTTTTTCTTTTTTTTTTTTTTTTTTTTAAAGACCATTTCTAAGCTTCAAACAGTCGTCTGAATGACGCCAGACGTCGCGACGCCCTTACAATAAAGCAATTTCTACACCCACGCGTGTATAGTAAGTAAAAGAGAGACAGCAGCAATGGAACTACTTGCTTGTTTGTGTTGTTTCTAATCAGAGGATAAAGTGGAAGAGAATTGTGGATGCCGGGTGTATCACGTGTTTTAGAATTCATGCTTCGTATTACTTGTGAATTGATTATGTACGAAAGAAGAGAAAATAAACTATTTTACGCGACGATACTTAAGAAGCGAATTATTTTGTCCCTTTTTTTTTTCTTTTCTTTTTCAAATAAAACCACAAGTAGAAGGAGGACAAAGTTTGTTTTATGGATTACCGAGAAAAGATATTTCAATGTTGTTGCAATAAAGTATTAATAATTGACTGCAACGTAAAAGTATTTCTCACTGTCTTGCATTTGTAATTTTTTCTTTATTTTTATATGAGATAATTTATGAGGTACACTATAATATTTGCATATTTTTATATATATATAAAAAAAAAAAAAGAAAATTCCGAGCTTGAGTTGAGAGTTGAGGTAAGACGTAAAAAAGTTATTTTGATTTTAATAGCGCGAGAATATTCTTTTATCTTTTATTTATTTTACAAAATCGAAATGGCGTATATATATATATGTACATAATTGAACTCGTCCGGTTAGTGTACATGTTTGTCTGTAATTAAAATCGTTGCTTGAGTGGCTAACAATTTTTTTTTTATACATATAATATGCACAAGCGTGTATAACGTTTTAATGAAAAAACAAAAAAAGTTTATTAAACCGTCGAGGTCTTTGCGATATCTTTTTAATGATATTTTTTTTCCTAACGTAATAACTCTTATTTCCTAAAAATTCTACATTATCTTAGAATCGTCTGTGAATTTTTCTGATCTCAATTTATTTCCTTAGTCTTTTTTTCTTGGAAAAAAAAAAAAAAGAATGCAAAGTCTTTGACAAGATTTGTTTTTGTCCTACGTAACGAAACGAAATCATTTTGTCGTCGTTTAAAAAAAGCGTTTCACGGCCGGTAATATAGATCTCTGCGATACAATTTATTATTCTCTGTTATCTGAAGACAAGAATAAAGTGTTTCGAAACGAAACTCATTAGCTATCGGACAAGTTACAAATAGTAGTCTATCGATTTCTCGATCGTTTAAAACACGTATTTTTTTTTTTTCTATCATTACTATTAATCGAATAAACAAAAATATTAGAGCAAGGAAAAGAATATCATTAAAATAATAAATCTAGAATATGGTAACGTAATATCTATTCTTTCACTCTCATAGTTATGACATTATTAATTAGCGAACATTCGACACACCTCGATACTTCGTTCACATTATTTTGTAATTTTAATAAATAAATTCGAAAGAGAAATTTATATAAGTAATCCCACGTTGAAATCTAACATAATATTTTTTTTCCTATATATTATAAAATATTATTCTCGTTTTCTCTAAGTTTATTTTCGATAACAAGTTTATGATGTAGTTTGTGCATACATGGCATCGTTTAAGATATCCTTTGGCATGTCCTATCATTCTATTTCGAAAGTTTCTATAAGCTTTCGTAGTTTCGTAGATGGTTGACGTGTTCTTATTGGGTCACACACGCGAAAATTGACATTTGATCTTTGACCTTTGGGAATCCAAGGTTTTTTCATTTTTTAGAAGAAAAATTCACGTTTGTCAGTAAGGTTTGAACGAGTAATCCTTTATACTTTAAGAAATATCAAGGCTAAGTAAACAGAACAGTGAACACGATCTTTTATTTTGAAGATATTAAGATACGTAAAGGAGAAGAACTTGGATTAGTTTTCGACTAGTTCGTTCCAATTTCGCAATCTTATGTAAGCGAATTTGTCAGTTACTTCAAGGTCGATCTTATTCACTTTATATAATAAATTATTTCGTTTTCAATTGATTATGCAATCCTAAGAAATAACAGAGTACCTATTATGTATTATAATTTATTCTATACACGTTTTGCTGTTATCCAAAAACATTTTACTGAAAATAAAATGCAAGCTGTAGAACAGTTTTTCATTCCTGTATTATTATTGAAAAAAATGAAATTTTAACAAGAAATTTGTTTGATATTAAAAGTATTATATATATATATAAGCTGTTTCAAATTTTTAAATAATTCTCATTGCAATTGATACTTTACAAGGTTAAAAGTCAAGACCATTTATCGTTCCGTCCATTGAAATATTATTCGAAGGAACGGCGTTGTATCAAAATCATCAATCAATCGTTTTGTTTGAAAGTTATTCGGCTTGTGTGTTACAATATTTGATGCATGATACATTAAATCTCGACGAAGGACGATTAACGTTAATATGCAGGAGCACACGAAGATAAAATTTATATTCTTAATAAGTTTGATCAATTTCTTTTTTTTATTTTTTTTTGTCGATGTTATTTTAATTTAAACAGCTCTCGCGTGTCCCGTGCCCTTAATGGGTAATAACGCGACGATGATCCAAGCAATTACCTTGCCCTTCGTTCGAAAGAAGAAAGAAGGTACGGTTCATGAAGGTAGTAGCCTCGAAGGATGAGGAAATAAAATAAAAAGGTTCGATGTGGTTGCAATACTCGACACCGGTGTTGTCCTTGGTTGAGACCGGGTACCGACGTCCATTCCGACAGTTCAAAAAATTGCAACCGAGAGTTAGCTTATCTTTCTTAAACGACAACTACAATGACAACAACTACAACTACAATGACAACGAAAACGAGGACGCACTTTGATATTTTATTTCCTTGATTCTTGTAAGAATTAAACGCTAAAAAACGTTATACGATTTAATCGTGTATACCGGTAGTCCGGAATTGTATTGACGTGGGTGTAATATCTCTTTGACGATTGATTAAGATCTATTCGATAATAAAATGTATATTTTGAAAAAGACAAATGTGAAGATATAAGATATACATATGCTAAGTTCTAAATATAATATATGTAATTATTAATAGCATATTATTAATAGCTATTATTTTATATTAAAGAGCTATTATATATATGTATTAGATATACATATGCTAAGTTCTAAATATAAATATGAAATTTCAAATGAAATCTATATAATATAGATATTAACCCCGAAATATATTTAAAGAGGTATTATTGATATATATATATTATGTTTGTTTAAAGTAAAGGTTGGTTAGTTTCTCAAAAGCGGACATCCTTGGTTTTTCGCGCGCAGCTGCAGCTGCGACGAGCCCGGGGCCGAATGCACCGCAATGCAGGTGAACCAGCGGCTGGTCCACAGGCTGGACCAACTAACCAACCAACCAATGAACAGCCGGTGCACTCGGAAGAAGATGCGTAGGCAGTTGTATCTTCGAATCATCGTCTACTACTGCAAATTTCTCTTTCTTTATTTCTTTATTTTATGTTTTTTTGTTCATAGCTATTGCAGATCTTATCTTCTTAGGAAAATATCTTACGAGTCCAACTTGCTCCCCTTCTTCTTCTTCTTCTTCTTCTTCTTCTTCGAAGGATCCTAACGTTATGCGAGAAAGAGAGAGAGAGAGAACACGCGGGAGGAGAATTTCCTCCACCTTCTTTTCTACCTAGCACTATGTAATCTTTCGCTCGGAGTTTATGCTACGTCCTACGGACACGTTCCTATCTCGAGATAATTCATACCGACGTATGCAGCGATTCGAATTATTCGCAAGCTTTTCTTTCTTTCTTTCTACTGCTTCTTCTTCTTCCTTTACGACACGTACTGCGAGTAAACCGATTCAATTTGTTTGTTTTTTTATTTTTTCAAAATCAAGTAAGACCATGTTTCTTAATATCTATTTGAATAATATGTCTAACAAATGATAATTGATTTTATCAAGGAAATGATTACTAAAAGATCGAACAAAGATTGATGAATGAACTAAAAAAATCGATTACTCATGAGAACCCTTCCAAATAATTCCGAAACAAATTTGATACGATTAGAGAGAGAGAGAGAGAGAGAGAGAGAGAAAGAGAGAGGGAGAGACAGGCTTATAAAATAAATGTATAATTAAAATATTAAAAATCGTTCGCGTGTAATAAATAACATTAATGAGATTCCCGATAGAAGAAGACGTTAAAGTAGATTTTACGCCATTCAAGTCTGCTTTCGCTTTCGATCCTGATCGAACAAATAAAGGTGCGGTCATATCGTTGCAAACTTAAGAAGAAGAAGTATGGGGGTTCTATAACATATACCTATACATAAATTTACTATGTGTTATAAATACAAGAGTAAAGGTGTATGTATGTGATGTATATTCCATAGTGATCTGTATGGAATCTGTTGGAATGTGTTGTATGTTCTATAGTAATCTGTAMATATAGTATATATAAAYTTACTATGTGTTATAAATACAATAATAAAGGTGTGTATACGTGTGTBTTGTATATTCCATAATGATCTATATAGAATCTGTTGGAATGTGTTGTATGTTCTATAGTRWTCTGTACATATAGTATATATAAACTTACTATGTGTTATAAATGCAAAAGTTTAGGTCTGTGTAATATGTGTATGTTGTATATTCCATAGTGATCTGTATATATCCTTACTTACGATCTAAAGTATATAACGAAGAAATAGAAAGAGAGAATGAGAGAGAATGAGAGAGAGAGTGAACGATCGATCGAAGCAAACATCCTCCGACAAGATTATCGTAGCGGAGCACGATGTAATCGAGCGGAGGTTGTCGGCTGTCGCTTTAAAATTCCCTCCTCGGCATCACCGAGGTTCCCATTGCGCTTGCTATCTTATCGACTATGTTTCAAGTATCTCATAGTAGTTGTCTGCTAAAGCTTCGTTGCATCATCGAGTTTTTAACGAGTTTTTAGGGGGGGGGGGAGAACTGTTTGTTTTCATCCTTTATTAATACTACTACTATTACTACTACTATTTTACTACAATGATTTCAAATAAACACAACGTTCAACGAAATCCCTGTAACAAACACGTACGTATGTTCAAGTGTGTACGTGTATTCCTTATTTTTTTTTCCCAATCACTTTTAGATTATATTTTGATAAATTTATATTTGTTTCATATTTTTTTGATTGAAATATTGTTAACTATTTTTTTTTTATGGCAATGTTATGTTAATGAAAATATGATTTGATTAATGAGAAAAGTTTTTCTTTTTTAAAATCGTACTCTCTCTCTCTCTCTCTCTCTCTCTCTCCTAAGAATTACTACCATTAGCTCGTATATATCATTTTTCCGCTAAGTTAATCGCGTTGTTATCCGATATAATATGATTAAAATTGCATACACCTAGCAGGTATTTATAAGAAGGTCTGTTACTATATTACGCTCATGAGAACATTTTATCTTAGGAGTGAATGAAAGAAATTCGTGTCGATGAGTCAGAGTATTTCGAAGAATAGAAAATATTAAATGTTATATATAAGTATTTATTACAATAATATTTTTATGTTATCCGAGAGTATCATTTATTACAACGTTAAAATCTTGCATCATTGTAAAACGATTCGAATAATTCGAAAAGAAAATGAAAAAAAAAGAAAAAAACAAAGTTACACGTGAGGTAATAGAATAATTCGCAAAGATAGATAGATAGATAAATAGGGGATGATTTTTATTGCGAATTTTTTGTTTGAATCCAGGGTCTTATGGCATCGCGGATGCACATGGTCGAATGGAACGAACGAAACGTTCATAGATAGGTATAGAAAGGTACAAGTATAGTTATCGGAGCTCGTAAAAAGAGAAACTCGAAGTTGTTGTGTCCTGTGGCTTGCTGGTTGCACGCGCGAGCAAGGATACGTAGGTGGTTACTGAAAGACACGTCGTCGTAACAGGAGAGTAGAACTTTTAGTTAGGTGAAAGAATAAGACAAAGAGGTGTACCACATTGAAAGAGGTGGTGGTGGATTGTTCGTTCAGAGAAGTAGTATTATATTGGCAAACTACGACGACTAAGACGAGTAAAAGTAAGAGAGGGAAAGCTAGCTAACTAATATAAGCAACGGTGGATAAGAAGGGAGAAAAAGGATGGAAGGAAGGAGAAAGAAGAATGGTGGGGTTGGTGGTGGTGGTAAACGCGAGGAACGAAGCACGTGGGACCCCGAAGTCCGTGTGTCTCTCCTTCAGTAGTGCTCTCAGCTGCCTCTCGGATAATTTCGCACCGGATGTCCATCTACCAATGTTCTAGACGCGTCCGTTGTTGTTGCACCGTTCGTTGCACCGTTCGTTGCACTATTCCGCGACGGATAATGCGGCGAACTTCTTACGAGGAAAGATATTTATTCGTTTAGTCCCGTTTCTTAGACTAAACGCATCGAAAAAGGGGGTGGGTGAGTTGTTGCTGTTATTGTTGCTAATTATGAAAGAACAAAATTAATTCGTTAAAGATTCTGATGTCGGGTCTCTTGTTTTATTTTGTTTTCTAATTATTAATCTTTTGTTTATTTTTTTTGGAAATATCATGTATAATATTAGTTATATTATAGGATATCTCAAATTGTATATCAGGTCACGTGAACACCATCCTGTGCCACCGTTTGAGAAAAGCACGATGACTCCAACAAAGTTGTCGTCCCTCGTGATACTTCATGCCATAGTTATTGCGGTATCTTCTATCGATCGTGAGACACGAGTTAAGGAAGATCATTTTCTTGGAGGAATTTCGCATAATATTCAGAATCGTCAAGTAGTTTGGCCCCATTGGTTTCGCGAAAGACAAAGTCGTATACAGCAGGATAGAAAACACGATTGGAATCGTTTTCGGAGTTATAAAAATGACGATGACGATGATGATATTGAAACGAGCATAGCAGTTGCACCTACGATCGGATCCTCGATTGGTTATTCCCCGATTGGATCAATCCTACGACATAATAATGCAACTAAATCGGACAAATTTGGTGCCATCGCTGTTGCGGAATATTCTGGTACCAGGGCCATAGCTTATGCAGGATTTCACGATGATCATCGGCATCGTGTTTATCCGGAAACTCCTGTTACCCGTGGCTATCAACAAATTCTTACCACAACTACGCCCACGACATACACCAGACATCATTCCGGGTACGTCACATAAGAATATTTTTCTTTTTTTAAATATAAAATTCTACTTTGCGCTATTCGAATTAAACTTGAACAGTTATCAACAAACGTTCTCTTTATAAAATTAATATTAATTACGCGAAATCAATTTAGATTTCAATCGTTCAACGAATAATCATATTAATATTACCAAACGAAACCACTTGACAATTCGTTCGTACGTATGAGAATTTTTTGATCCTGAAGAATCCTTCGAGATTATCAAAAATTGATCGAACGATTCTTGTCCAATTGTCACGCAATGCACCGTTAACTCAGCTACACGTCCTCAGTTGAATATTCGATGAAAGAAATATATATTCCCATAGAATCGTAATAGAATTACAGATACAAAATTATTCTGTAATATTCCTGGATATTTTGACAACGGGTATATTATAACGCATAACAAATAAACAATTTAATTAAGGAAACTTAGCATTATCCGGAAGCAATACGGGGGGGGGGTATACACCATTTTACTCGAGGATTTCATCGTAAAAGGGTAATCGAGTTATCAATAAGAAAGGCTACCTTTCTCTTTTATACAAGGGGTAAAGGAGGAGGAGGAGGAGGGGTGGTAGATATTATGGTATCATATTCCAGGATCATAGATCCTTACTGTCAGCCAGGGCGATCATTAAATGGTCACGATCTGAAGGAGTATTAAGCTATAACGCAAATGTGTATAACTCGCTTGCTTGCTTGCTTGCTTGCATGCATGCATGCATGCTTGCTTGTAACTTTGCTAGCTAATATAAATGTGCTACCTCATCGATCACGTTCCACGCAAACGCATACGCCGAATTCCGAAGAGTCACTTTTTTTTTCTTATCTCACAGCAAACGTAGTACCTTTCGAAAAGTACATCGTGAAAAAGAGAAAGAAAGAGGGAGGGGTAAAGAGGTAGGTAGGGAGGGAGGGAGGGAGGTAAGGAAAGAAAGACCCACACGGATTCGGGCCCCGATCGAACGGACTTTATCTCGAGACACGCAAATGGAGCCGAACGAAGCAACCCATAAATATACGCTGCTGTTAGTCCCGGCGTGTCGTTGAATTACTATATTTACGAGCAATAAGCGACGCGCGAGATATCCGCGAGATGATGTACGATCGAAGGGAAACCCGGTATATCTCGCACGCGGTGTAATAACATTCACTGAGAAAGTGCGTGTGTGTGTGAGAGAGAGAGAGAGAGAGAGTGAGGTTTACTTTGAAAAAAAATTCGACTCATATTCATACTCATATTCATATTTTATATACATACATGCATACTTATAGTCGTACTCGATTTAACTCCACCAATACTATCGAAGGTTCCTTTTTCATACACCATTCGCCGCGGCCGGTTAATTAATCGATCGATTAATTATCACTCGCCTAACGCCTCTCACCGCGAACGCTTACAATCATTCGAATTGTTCGTCGTACGAGGATTTTTCCTATGTATTATAAATTATTTACACATACTTGTTATAACATTGTAATATATGTGTTTTTATGTATACACCACCGTAGTGTTTCTAAATCTAAATTCAACTAGTTAGATATAAATTTAAGCGCGTTGTCTCTTTTTTTGAAATAAATATCAATGTTTTACATTTAGATATTTAAGTTTTAAGAATTTTTCCTTATTAATATCTGTCATCGTTGTCGTTGCGGAAAAAATTTGTCCATGAACCTGTTCGAAGGATTCGAACGATTGATACTCGTCACCCTGGTTTAACCATATTTGTATATTAAATAAAAAGAGAGAGAGAGAGAAAAAAAAAAAAGAAGAAAGAACAAACAAGCAAGAGAATTTATTCGCGTACGAGAGAAATCATACACACTATTTTTTTTTTAATCGTGACATCGATCCTGAAAAATAATCATTGATATCGACTCGACTCGATTCGTTGATACGATAATAATAACACTTAAAATGCGATTTGTCGATATGAAGACCCGTTGGACGGACGTTTTCTGTCCAACGAAATTAAAGGGTTACTGTTTAGAATTCGTAACGTTTAAAATAATCGTTTCTATCGTCGGACGAACGAATCAACGCCACGACCAAATCGAATATTCATAAATCATAACGTATGTTCGTGTAAGATTGGTGACTATTTTTTTCCTTTTTTTTCTTTTTTTTTTTCATTTATTTTAAAAGTGCGTCTAGACTTTCGAACCGAGTTCAATTTGTCCTGCGTGCGCGAATAAAGTTTCACACACAGTTATTATTACGCTACTACCATCGAGAATGACTTCCATTCGAATAAATCTCTCGTTGGGAAAAAAAGAAAAAGAAATGGAAAAAAGCTTTAGGCTTCTTCGCGTTGCCTTATACGTCTACGTTTTTTTTCTTTCTTCTTCTTCTTCTTCTTCTCTTTTATTTTTTATTTTATTTCGTTTTATATATTTTCCCCCTTTTTACCTTTATACTTTTATCTTTTTCTATTTTTACATCAATAAATATCTGTACTTCTCGTACGTCTACTTGCTATTACTCATCCACTTGCGTGTATCTCCTCGTTGTGATTCATTTTTCATACTTTGTTTGTTGTAATCTTTAGAATATATATTTTTTTTAATTCTCGAACATACTTATCGTCAAACACATATGGGAATACGCTTAACAATACTGTTTGATTGGAAAAAAAATCACGGACACCCACATATATTTTGTCCTCTCTGGCAATTATAATAATATGACCTAAGTTCAAAATAATTACGCCAATTTATTTTTTTGGACTAGATTTATTTCATAATAATATATAAATAATTGGTTATATTCAAATAAATCATTTTAAATTCGTTTATCAGCAATCATTTTCATTTGGTCGACTGTTATAATCATCTTCAGTTATCATTTTCATTATATTTCTCTCTGTTAACGAAAAGTTTTAAATAATTAATATAAATTATCATCAACACACACACATACTATAACTTACTCACTTTATCTCGTTTATTTTTTAACTCCGTGATAAAAGAAAAAAATCCCCAAAAGAAAAGAAAAATGCGTCGCGCATAATGTGAGGTGAACAAAATAAAAATGTAATCGTCCACTTGTACAAATACTTTACTTACGAATGATCGATAGTCTTCGAAAAATAAATAATGATGATGAATATATTGTGAAAGAGAAAATTTCAAGTAGGAAAGATAATGATTCCCGCCGCTATGTCACTGAATAACAACGATTTTCTTCAACTTCAAATCTATCATGCACTATCGATCTTCGTTTCGTCATATCTCTATGATGTGTATCAGAGAAATGACGGTGTAATGACGAAGATAGATGAACAACGATCAACCAAAACGAAACGAACTCCCTTCTTCGAGAGAAGAAGGTCTGCAAATGAGGAAAACCATACGTCCTATCATTCTATCATTTTTGCCATGTCAAAATCATCCTGCTTTTCATCGTCTAACGTTCATTTTTCTCACACCCCATGACGATCTCTCTCTCTCTTATCTTTATTTTCTTTTTTATGATATTATCTAACACTTGTTAACACGTTGCGTGGTAAAAAGATTTTGAATTATTACATTGGGATAAAAAGAAACATCATTTTTATATATAAATATTTATAAATTATTTTCAATGTGAAATAAAATATRTGAATGAAATGTATTTGCAATGGAAATATATATTAGTATTACAAATATATACGAATCACGTGTTATCACGCAATTTTTACGGTATTATTCTAACG